GCAGACCCGGTCCCTGCAGGGAAGTCACCAGCCACAGAAGGAAACCAAATGCATGATGGCTTCGAAAGGGATACATTAAAATCATGCTGGAGTGATTCATGGCGCTGGTAGTTAGACTTTAATTAGATCTTAATCACGTAATTTTATCTTTGTTTTGGAGATTAGAGCTTAATGACTGGATTGGTCTCATAACAGTGCTGTGACTGAACATGGAACTGTCACATGGCAGCTCTGTGGCAGGCAGACATGGGACCGAGAGCATTGGCCTCTTTGGGTATTTTAAATAAAATTCGTGTGTTTAAAATAAATAAATAAATGTATTTAAAACACGCAAATACATCGGCGTGTATAGGCCCTGCTAGCACTCAAGGAGAGCACAGGGGCAAGAGGAGGCTCACAGCATGGAGCCAGGTGTGAGCCCGGGCTTTGGCTGTTTGGCTGCCACCATCGCCACACCCGGCCAGGGGTCCATGGTGTGACAAGGAGAGATGGATCAATTCAGCTGGCAGGTTGGATCTTCACAGGATTAGCAGCAGAGTAACTCACCTCAGTCACTCCTGGGCACTTTCCCTCCTGTGTTGCTGTTTGGGGCCTCCACACGCTTGTGGCACGGAGCTGCTGTGCCCTGCAGTGTGTGGGGATGGACACGGGAATGGACACGGGGATGGACATGGGGATGGACATGGGGATGGATGTGCACTGAACAGCAATGGCAGTGGGGACCATCCCCCTGCTAACATGCAGGAACCCTGCACATGTGTCCCAGGAGGGGATTTTTCTCCCGTGCAGCTGTGGGATCCATCAATATCTGCCCTGCCTTTCATCCTGCCCTTCAGTTACTTTATTTTAGTTGAGTTACACAAAATTGGTTCAGGTTTGCAGAATTAGTCCCTATGGGTGGCAGGACTGGGACAATGCTGCTGAGCCACAGTCCAGCCCCATGGGGCACAGAGCTGGGATTCACCCATGCCTGGCACAGGGGCCGTGTCCTGTGGCACATCCCTGGCAGCCACACCTGGCTGGGCATGCAGCAATTCTTCAAATCTCAGCTTTTGCCTCTCTGAGCTTTGCCTGGACCTGAGCTGTGCCCAGGGCTTGTCCCTGAGCCTCTGCAGGGAGGGGAAGAGGCAGCTCTGTGTCCCACAGCTGTGGTGGTGCTACGGTGCCATTGTCCTTGAGCTCTGCCCTGCCCTTGCCGCAATGGCAGTGGCCCCTTCCCACCTTCCCTTTCCTGCTTGTTATGCCACAGGAGCCACTTGAACTCATTACTGTGGCAGATTATAGGTCCCCAGGTAATAACGAGTCTTCAGATAATTACTAACAGATTCTCTAATAGGAATGAACTCAGTTGAATCCATTCAGTCACTGGGTAAATATTTATCCCTAAGCTGTCCTTGTCTCCAGCCACTGGAGCGTGCCRGAGCTGGTTTGCTGTCCTCGCACCGTGCGTGCTGCAGGAGCCAGCTGTGGGGAGCGGGGATGTCGTCAATGACTGTTAAGGTCCCTTAAAAATTCTAAAATGCTTATTCACAACAGGGGACTGGCGCTGATCTGGGCTTATGCCGTAGCTCAGGGCTGCCTGGGACCCCGCACCACATGGGATGTGCCCTGCCAGCTCCCCTTTCCCTCTGGGACGGGCAGCAGTGACCCCATTGGGGGGTCAGTGTTCCCACAGGGCTGAGGAGCCCCAGCCAGGGCTGAAATGCCTTTGACAGGGCTGTTGCAGCATCCTGGGGGTGACAGCCACCACCATCTGTTGGCAGCAGCTCCACGTGGCAACTGCCACCCCACGAGCTGTTGGCACTGCCACTGTCAAATGCCAGGCCCCACGGCCACGGGCAAGTGTCAGAACCCTCAGCCCTTGTGAGTGCTGCTCCCCTGCTGCCTGCACCCGCAGCCCTGGCTCTACAGGAGTCACTAATTGGACCAGCCGGCTAATTAGCAGTCAGGTAATGAATTATGCAGCGATGCCTAGACTTCAGCGCAGTATTGATGCCATCAGRTCCTCTCATTGCTGTACGAACCTGCCTGCGGAGCACTGGGCACGGCTTGGAGAGCAATTTGGAAAATATCAAGGTAAATATAAGGTGTTAATCCATTGTGAGCAGGGACGTGTCACCATGGGGTGGTCACCGCAGGGTGGTCACTGTGGGTTGGTCACTGCGGAATGGTCAACAGCGGAGTGGTCACCATGGGGTGGTCACCGTGGGGTGGTCACTTCGGGGTGGTCTCTGGGCTGGCTGGTAGCCACAGGCATGGACAGCTCTGTGTGCCCTCTGAGTGCCCATGGGCAGGAGAGTGAGGCTGGAGGAAGGGAGGTTCGCTGGGGGTCAGAGGCTGAGGTATCTGGGAGTTCCACAGGAATGACTTTTCTGGAAGAGGTTGGAGGGTCCCTGTGGAGAAGGGAGGGCTGGCAGTGGGGTGCAGCCCCCAGAGCCTGTTGGTGAGCTGTGTTTTGGAGGGCAGCTTGCGGCGCTGGGATCACCACGGGCACAGAGCTGTCACCAGGGACAGCCCCTCGGTGTCTCCATGCTGCCAGGCACTGGCATCACTGTGTGACTTTTTAAGCCATTTTTAAGCTGTGCCCTTCCTGGGCAGCAGCGACAGAGCCCTGAGTCCAACTGGCCCTGTGTTCCTGCTCCTTGCTGCAGCCTGACCAAGTARCAGGAGGAAACTTGCCCTACTTGAATGTGTCCGAATCCCAGCACCATCCATTATCTCTGAGGGGCTGCAGGTTTCTGTCAGCCATTGTATTTATTTGCTGCCCGCTCTGTGTGTGTGGAAGGAGCTGTGTTTGGAGCACACTGCTGGGTATTGCAGTGGGGGGACAGTGCTGGGAGTCCCCCTCAGTCACTCCCAGGGCCCTGCCTGCTGCCAGTAAACACGGAGCCAGCAGTGAAACTCAATCACTTTAACTTAATMAGAAGTTAATCAAATTTTCTCGGTGCTCACAGCATTGCGATCCTGCCTTGGTAAGAGGGATGAACAACGCTCCTTGTGCACCTGGAAATTCCAGGGCTGAATTTGACATGCTGGAGCTCACACACAGGGAGCCGCACCCAGGGCTGCTCCCACCTGGGTCAGGGTCTCCTCATCAGCGCTCAGGGAGGGTGAATAACCAATGGCCAAAGAAAAGATCCCTGACTGGGGGTGCTGGGATGGTACTGGGGGGCCATTCTGGGAGGAGGGGCTGCTGCTGGGCAGGAATGGTGCTGTGACCCTGTGGAGGTTCAGTGGTTCTGTTCTTCCTGGGCAGGGACTCTCCAGTGATGTGAAATGGCCAGTGAAGGATTCCCTTGGCCCAGCTCGTCTCAAGAGCTCTTCAGCAYGAGTAGGATCAGGGACCACTTAAATCACATTCATTATGTTTAACTATTTATAAGCTGATAAATATTAAACAGCTGCTCTCTGGGGTTCAGGCCTGAGCGAACCCATCAAAACACGGCGCACACGACGGCGGTGGCCGTGCCATGGGGACAGCTGGGGCTGCGGGAGGTGCCACACCAGGGACGGCTGGGAACAGTGGCGTGACAGCCCTGAGAGCAGAGGCACTGTCCCTTGTCCCCTGGGCGGAGAGAACACAGTCTGGGTGAGCAGGGGGGTCCCTCTGGAAGCCACTCTGCYTGGCATCAGGTCACCACACCAGCACATCCCCACCAAACCCTTCCATCCTCATCAAACCCCTGCCCTCCTCCTCAGCATGCAGACTGCCTGCTTGGGGCTTTTAAAGCCATTTTTAAGAGCTCCTAATGTGCTTTGCATTTTCAGCGTAGCCCTTCCCGAGCCCTCATTTGCTCACCCTTTGGAAAGCTAATGCTTGGTTTAAGCACATTTCTGCTCCCTCCATTTGTAAGGACAAATGTAAAGTAATTGTTTGATATCGCAGCAGTTTCCTCAGGCTCCAGCTCTAATTTCCCACTAATACAGTATTGTCAGGAGGATCAATCTAACCTGGCACCTTCTGCCTCCTTGGAGTGGATTGGAAATGGCTTTTCTACTGCGAGGCTGGGATTTGTGAGTCTCGCTGTGAATGTTTTTCTCCTTTAAAGGAAAAATCATACAAGCAAATATCCCATTTTCTTCTCAATGGCCATTAATTCCTGTCTGTACCTCCACCTGCTCATAACTGCCTCTGGGTGCCCTCGCTGCTGTTGTCTCCCCCTGTGGCTGGCAGTGACAGAGATGCAGATGGGGCTCTCTTAGGTGTCCACTAATTAACTCCAATTTTTTCCTAGTAGAGTTCAGTGGTTACTAATCACACAGAGTAAGGCCTTGCAAACTGGTCCACGGTGTGTTTCATCCCCACACAGCCACTGTGCATCATCCCGAGGCATCCCCAGCCCTGTGCCACAGGATGAGCTTGGGCAGCCCTGGGCAGGCTGACCCCTCATGCCAGGCTGACCCCCTGTCCTGCCCCAGCCCCTGCCCACTCCCTCGCCTGCCCACGGGCGTGGGGGCTCCCCACAGCCCCCCAGCTCTGCCTAAGGGCTGTCCAGCCCTGTCCTAAAAACAGCCCATGCATACGGACTGGTGGAAGCCACTTTATTTACATGAAAGGATCACATGCTCAACAAGGAAACTAGTGCCACTAAAGTACCCGTAACAGCAGGATTCTGTGCTTTATTCACAGGACAAAATATCAGTACAACATTTTCCATAGACTTCTTTGTCAAGCAGATACATCTCACTGTCCTCATGGGTACACACGGCAAGTGACAAAGGCAAAGTGGAGTGGCCGGAGCTCTGCCTGCAGGGACAGTCCCACTGCCACTGTCCAGGAGCACCCATCTGCTTTGGGATACAGAGGGGAGTGCTTTGGAACAGCCTGMACATAAACTGCAGGATGGGGCCATGGTGACCATGTGGTGTTAAGAGCAAACAGGACCCCACAGAGGAAGCCACGTGGCTGCTGCCCTGCTGGGCCAGGCAGTGCTGCTGGGCACTCATCCCTTAGCTTGGTGGCTGCAGCAGGACTCTGAGCCTTCCTTTYCTCRGCTCACTCYGGAGCWTTGCAGGCTCCCAAGGGACAGGGAAATCCCTTGCCTGCCTCTGCTGGCRATTCTGGACAAGATGGGCTGAGGGRGTCCTGGCTCCAGCCCCTTGGGGCCCCTCACCGATGACAGGAGCCTCACGTCACTGCAGCTCTGCTCACGGACARTTATTCCCACCTGAAGTCCTGCCCGACTGTTTCATAGAATTTGATATTATAAGGTCTATAAAAGTCCCGAAGCTGCTCGATCACCTCGGGGTCTATCTGCACATGAGTCCTGCCCTTGGACTTGCCAAGGCAGCGAGGCAAGCCGCTGCTCTCCGACTTCTTCAGGCACGGAAAGCCTTTYGTCTTGTTGAAGTAGAAGTGCTTGTCTGTGATAACCCGTTTAATGCCCAGGAAGTCCTGGACTTTGCCCATCTCCCCTGCTGGGTCYGTGATCAGCTTCTCCCCACTGACAAAGTGGATCTGTGAGAGAGGGAAGTACTGRAGCCAGCTCTCCAGGTGCACGGCGTACATCCCGATGCGGATGGCGTTCCAGGACGTGTCCACCAGCCCCAGGCTGCGGTTGCGAAAGGTCAGCCCCTCGAAGGTGGGGATGTCCGGCTTCTTGGACAGGGTCTGTGTGTAGTCTGAGATGGCCCTGGTGACCGGGTTCCTCACCACCACGATCAGTTTGGTGTCCCGGGACATGTTGAAGATCCTCCGTGGCGCCTCTTTGGTGACGAAGTAGCTGGGGGTCTTCTCCACCGTGATCTGGCTGTCGAGTGTTCGTGGCATCAGGCTCCTGCAAGAGAAGTGGAAGGTGATGTGAGGAACGGGCCAGAACAGGCACTGGGAGGTGGTGACTGCACCATGGGGCTGGTGACATGTCCCTTCCCAGTGGGACAAAGCAGGCACAGGTCCCTCCAGCAGCACTGCAGAGGGCCCTGCTATGGATGACTTCAGGTCTGTCCCAGTCCCAGGGGATCCCCTGGGCAGAGGATGGGAACTGCAGCCCCACACACAGAGTAGCAAGYGTGAGTCCAAAGCCAGGCAGCAGGAATGTGATGGCTGTGCCACATCACCACCACAAAGAGCAATGGACTGRGGGACTGCGCTGCTGTGCCGGTGGGAGCTGGGCCAAGGGGCTGCCCAGGGCTGTGGGGCTCATGCCCACCAGGGTATCACCCACCCCACAGGGCCTGACCCRGCCCCAGAGCTCTGAGTGGGCTCCTGGGTACACCCATCTGTATCTGGCACTGGGAGCTGGGCTGCCAGCCAGGCAAGGAGCACCAGACTGGGGGAAGTGCAGCATCCCTGCAGCCCAGCTTARCACTAATTAAATCATTTGCTTTGACATCTGAACATCCAAATCAAATAAAAACTAATGGGATGGAAAGATTTATAAATTGGTCTTGTATTACTAGAGTAAACTATCAAATCCACTGCAGTCAGATTCATGGCACTCTATGTCCCCTGGCTGGAGTGGGCAGGGAGCAGGYGGGGAATGCCTGGCTGGAGCAGACAGGGAGTGCTGGCAGGATGAGGCCAGCACCCTTCTGCTGCATCTGCACCCCAGCAGCACCCTGCAGCAGCAGTGCCACGGTGAGAGCAGGCACAGCCTGAATTCAGCTTGTGGAGCTCCCGCGAGCCCCTCACAAGGCACATCCCCAGGCTGGGTTCTGCGGTGGGTGCTCACCCCTGCACAGGGACCTGGCACTGGTACCACCGAAAATTCACCAGCCCTGGGTGCCCCAGYGAGTCTGGGGCCAGCAGCAGCCAGGGAAAGCAAACCCACACCGTTCCTGTGCGCTGCCATTCCTGCCAGCATCCCTGTCTGCAGCCATCCCACGGGAGAGCACGAGGCACGGCGTTATCCGTGGGATAAACCCAGCACAGCCATGCCTGTGCCACACCACGGGGGCTGCATCGGTGCAGGGACCGACACCTGGCACCTCCAGCATCCCTGAAACATGGCCAGTGGCCAGCAGCTTTGGGCTGATGRAACACCTAACTGGGAGGAGATCCAACAGCAGCCCACAACACCCATGTGACGAGAGGAGAGCGATGGCAGACCCAGGGCATTGTGAGGAGCGTGCTGAGAGCACCAGCCCACACACCCGCACGTGCTCCTGACCAGCTTCCTAATTTGAGAGAAAACAAACTAATTAGTCAGCATAAATTAGSAGGGCTGGTTCACTGAGGTATCTGAGCATGGATGGAGCTTAATTGGCCTTTCCCACTGCTCTGCTTCAAACCCCATAAATCCCGATTACGATTCCCATTGGTTAATGACTGTCAGGAAATGCTAATTCAGTGCAGGCACACAGCTCTATCTCCACATCACAAACAAGTTTCATCATAAATCAGTGCAGGACAGCTCTGTAAGTGTTTCACTATTACAGTGTATTGTGGAAAATCATAAAACTGCTGTTTCATTAATGGCTCATCCTCAAGCYTGTTAGACTTTCATTGCGTGAGTTATTAGGTCCATGCATTCAAAAAACAAAATTACAGGTTCTAATCCATTATGAAAAACACAAAACCTCTGCATAGTAAATTACTGAAATGAGACAAGAGCTGTTTTTTTTTTAAATGGACTCCCAGTGTTTGCTGCTCCTGAGCAACGGAGACTGCTGAGACAACAAAACACAGCACAAGCAGATAAATAAATCACCAGTGAAGCCATGCAAGGGGGAGAGATGTCATCCAGGCATTCATTTTCCCRCTAACAGCAGGATCCCCAGGGCTGCAGGAGCAGGGAAATGCATGGCAAACTTAATTACACCCGACTTTAAAATAATATTTTTGGACTTCTGCATTCACAGGGTTATTTGCATACAAATAGCATGTCATACAGCTTTAAGGCCCAGGCTGGCATGTGTAGGTGTGAAGCTCCTGGTGCTGGCCCGCAGTGCCATGTGGCCAGGGCTCAGCCAGGAGCCAYCCCTGCTGCTCCATGGACATGTCCTGTGGCTCTGCTGATGTCCCCAGCGGACTCAGCACCRGCTCCTGGCATGTCCTGGGCCAGCTGCCACCAACACGGGGACAGGGATGTATGGGTGACACTGGCAGGAGGGGTGGGGATGCCTGGGGCATCGCTCAGCACATTGCTCTGGCTGCAGGGACAGCATTAATCCCTCCTCAATTAGAGATTACTTTCATTATAGTTACTCAATTCTTAAAGCCCTTTAGTGCCACTTGATATGGGCATTAACACTCATTTCAGCCCAGATTCAGAGATTGCCTTTGCCCACATTAGTGACATGGGGACACATGTGGGTACAGCCCAGGGGAGCTGCTGTACCCTGATGTGGCCCAGCTGTGCCCCAAATTCCTGGGGGTCCCTGGGAGCCAGCACAGCCCCCACAGCCCCACCACCCCAGGGGTGCAGAGCCCGGCCTGGGTGTGGCAGCACGAAGGCAGCGATTTCCCTTGAAGGGGTTAACTCCTCACCAGCACCTTTCCAAGCCCTGAATTATTAATTTTGTTATAATCTGCCTTTGGGCACCCCGCAGCCCCTACAACACTCCCACATTAAAGAAACATGTGCTCCCTCACTGGCTGTGCTGCTTTGATGTTGAACATGCGTGAAACACTCTCCCAGGGAGGAATTTGTACAAAATCTCATCAAACAATTGAGATATTGCAGATAAGAGTGGGGAGAGCAGCGCCCACTGATAATCCCATCACAGCCCGGCCCCGAGGAGCAGCGCTGGGTCAGTCCCTGCCTGCTGTGTGCAGAGGCTGGAGGCTGTGGGCTCAGCGGCGTGAAAACAAACTGTTTAATTTGGCAAAAAAATCCCAAGTGCCAGCCTCTGTGATGAGGGCTCTGCGCTTCCCCTCTCGCAGCTGATGTCAGAGCAGAGAAGGGTGGGCTGTGAGCGTGTTTGCAGCTGCAGCCTGGTGTGCTGGCAGAAGGGAGCACAGGAGACAGCAGCAGCCTTGGCTCCTGCAGAACTGTGCCGTGCCATGCCGTGCTGTGCCATGCCATGCCATGCCATGCCGTGCCACGGGTGCTCACACAGCTGACAGCACCATCCCCTCTCTCCTGGCACCCTCTGCTCAGTGGTGAATGGAAGCCCCAGCAAATCTACCGGGAGGTTCAAGCCAAACTGGGTCAAACGCGTGAGAAAAACGAGGTGTGAGGAAGATCAAAAGCTCTCCCTGGCTGAGAGATATCACAGATATCACAGTGGTCATCGAGGACACGGAGACACCCTGGCTGAGGGCTGCACCACCCTGCCAAGGGGCAGAGGGATTCCCCAGCACYGCTCTAGCCCCTCACTGGGCTGGGGCCAGCTGGCCAGGGATAGCCTGGTTGCCTCACTCAGCCCGCCAGGACAGCACTGTGTCCACCAGAAAACACCCCCAAGGTGTTTTTCCAGCCAGAAACACCCCCAAGGGCCCATACCCCACTGCCACCACCCCATACTACAGCAGCCAGGATTTAATGATGGAGTAGCTCCCTTTAATAAATGTTTATGTTCAAAGAATTTACACCAGTGCTCGCAGACGGCTAATGAGGGACATTTCCATGCATAAAAGCAGAGCGAACACAGTAATTAACTATGTTGCTGATTCATTTTTAATCATTTAAATGCTCCAGAGATTTGCAGTGTCCTTTAAGTCAAGAGATTCTTTTCCAAAGGGCACACTGCCGTTGCCCTCCACAGACACACCAAGGTGTGACTCTCACCTTCCTCAATAACTGCTCGGCACTGACACAGGGTCTGGCAAAAGCCAAGGCCAGCTCYAAGGGCAGTGGGGCTGGGAAGGAGCAGGAGACAAGGGCTTCCTGCTCAGCTTTCACAGAGCCCAGCTCTCAGCCCTGCTGGGCACTGCTCTGTGCTCAGGGACACAGCCTGGGGCCTCCCCTTTACCATTTTCAAGGCAATTCCTTCTACAAGTGAAACTTCAAAACTGAAAACTCATTTTTAAAGCTACCACATGTCCCAGCTGCTGTAGCAATTCCCAAGTTMGTGGCCTATGTCAGAGCCATGGTGGCCACTTGGTGACCTCTCTGTGCCAGGAGAGTGCAAAGGGACAGCACAACCAAGCACAAACCCCACCAAGCTGGTGATGGGTCCTGCAGACTCTCTGTCACTCCCAGGCCCTGCTAGCCAACTCTGGCCCTTGCTTTACTGGCCCTGGCCATCTTTGGGCACACACTGCGGGCAAACACTGTGCCCAGGGCCTGCCCCCACCATGAACACCCAGGGTCACTAGGGCCTGGTTTCCTTTTCTTGCCAAGCCCATGGTGTGCTGCATCACCAGCTGGATTTGGYGCTTCCAAAGCAAAGGTGAGAACACCCTGCAGCATTTACAAACAAGGAACACAGCTAGAATACACATCTTTAATGCTGAAGGCTAGGCACACCACATGAGTTTATCTCCAGCATGTCTCCCAGCTCCTCACAGAGGGMAATTCTCCTGGCCAGAGTGAGGGTCCTGGCAGCAGCTGGCCCATCCCGGGGGCAGGACAAGCAGGACTGCTGTCCACAGGCAGTGTGGGCATGGCAGTGCCCAGGGAACGCTGCCGGGACAGCTCCTCACACAGCACTCTCTGCCACGGCTTCCACGTCCATTCCCCAGAGCCAGGGCACTCTCTGAAGTCAAGGAAATTTCAAAGCATCCTTGAAGCTGCTGCCTTCCTCTCTTCTCGCTAATTAACTTTACCCAAATGCACTGTCAGTAAAGCCCACAAACATGTCGCGGGGCGAAGCCTAATGGGCTCCCATTTGTGTGCGAGCCAGCCCGGCCATTAGCCGGGTGCAATTAGCCGGGAGCGGCTCCTTTCCTGCCCTCCCACACGCCCAGGGACGCGGGGACACTGCCATGCTCCCAGCTGGCTCCCCAGGGCAGCAGCGGTGTTCCTCAAGCACCCCAAAACCAGAGGCAAGGCAGGGATGGAGGGGCAGGGGACACAATTCCAGCAGCGCTGGCGCTCCCAGGACCTGTCACAAAGGTACACGRGGAAGCCAAGCTGGGCTCAAGAGCCATCCTGGGATCGGGGGATTCAGCCAGRACCAGACGGGCTCTGCCCTGTGCCAGCACAGCCTCTGGGCTCGGCTACAGCAGCCAGCAGGACCTGCTGGGAGGGAGCCAGGCTYAGCCTGCTGCCGCAGCCACAAGGAAAAGCCCCTCTCTGTGAAAATAACACTGGAGCATCTGACAGGATCACTCAGSAATCCTGAGGAGGAAAACTGCACCCTGAGATGCTGCAATTAGAGTCACTACTCAAAGCTAACGACCGTTTAAATGACACCATCTTCCCTGTGTTCTGGAAAATATTGAAGGTTATTGGCCCACACTACTCGCAGCAAGAAAAAGCTCAATATTGAACATTTAGTGCAGGATTGGTAATGAATCGATATTCCCCAGAAGCTGCTGTTTGGTTTCAGTTGTCTTAAAACAGACCTTGCTAAAAATACCTTTCCTGTAGTGTATCTGTAGCTAATGAGGTGGATTAGAGACTGATGGGAACTGGAAATGGCACGGGGGTCTGGAGCCAGCGAGTGGGCAGTGAGTGGGCAGGGTCACAAAGGGGGCAGCCAGGGCTCTGGCTCTGCCCAGGGTGTCATCCCCTCACTCCGGGTGAAGCTGGGGCTGCCCCTGGCCATGGCAGGAGCTAAGGCAGGAGGCACCACGAGAGCAGCTGTGAGCAAAGATGACATTTGGAGAGGCAAGGACAGGCGGATCAGGAGGTGCCCCCTCCTGCTCGCTCTGCCACCTCTGCGTCACACAAATGCCAGCGCATGAGCAAACAGTAAACAACGTTTTTGGGGCAGAACTGAAATGGTCAGTCCTCCCACTGCCTGCAACWGCATCGAAAACTGTCTTGGTCTCTCCACCTGGCACAAGGGAAGGACAGAGTTGTGTTGGCACTCAGCAGCCAGGGGCTCCTGCAGGCAAAGCCTCTGCTCACATCGGGAAATGCCTTAATGCTTCCCTTTMCGAGGGGTCTGTGCTCTGGGCTGCCTGCACCTCCACCACAGCACTGCCCACACACGGCAGCATCTGCTCTCTCCAGCTAGCAGCTGGAAGGCAGTTCCAGCCAGGCCAAGCACAATTCCCCACTCTGGATCATGGCAGGCAGCCCCTTGCAATCCCTCACAGCCCCCACAGCTTCTGCCCCCATCCTCAACTCTTCCCTGGGCCATGGTCACCTGCAGGATCCTYCTCTCCTTCTCCCCAGGCTCTTGGCAGAGCGACAGGAGCTCATCGTGCTGTGGGTTAGACCTGCTCCACATTTAATTGCTCCACTTGCAAGGAGGAAAATCAATTCCACATTTTATACATTAGCAGCCTCTGTGCTTAAGTTTTGGCACATTTGTCAGGTTAAAAAAAAAAAGGTAATAAAACCAAGGAAGTGTCATTTAATTGTTTTAGCTGAACTAATTTGGAGGCTCCGCTGCTCTGGCGTGATCTCTCCATTGATCCAGACACAGAGCCAGGCCCCRGGCAGCGTGCTGCTCACCTGGCCAYGCTCTCACCTCGCTCCACAGCTGCCCTTGCATCGCCACGGGCTGCATCCCTCCCAGCCATGGAGAGAGAGTTCAGCACAGGAGAATCCCAGGCTGAACYTCGACTCGGGGTGGGAGGCTGTCTGCTCGGCTGTGCACTGCTGCAGCCCCTTGGTGCCACAGTGAGAGGGGAGGTGACACAGCTGCTGCCTCCCGGACCAGCAACATTCCTGGTGTCCACAGGTGCCCTTACAACACAGGCAGGGTCTGTCCCTTCATTCAGGGCAAGCTCTGTCCCAAAACCTGGGTGGGAGCAGCGTCACAGGTCTGGTCCTGCCCTGCCCATGAGGCTCCCAGCCCCACATTTCCCACACAGACAGCAACCCAGAGCAGTKGCAGACACCAGGATGAAGGGAAGGACCCCAGCTCAGGATTTGGGGAAGCTGCTTCCCAGCTAGGTGTTGAGCCCATGCAGCTCTCCTCTGAGCGAGTGGCTCAGCCAGGACCCATATTCTGCTCCATCACCCATCCTGCCAGTCTGCATGTCCTTTGGAGAAAACACCATCCTCACATGCCTGAGCTGCTCACAGCTACTGGCTTTTAGGGGATGCAGGATGGGGATGTTGGGGGGAGGGTGTGGGAATAACACAGACCTGCTGAGTGGAACAAACAGGCAAAGGACATTGCTGTAGCTACTCTCTGAAGGGCAGGAGGAACTGGGCATGCTGCAGGAGAGGAAAATGGCTTCAGTGAGCTTCACCTGTGCCTGTCTTGGCTCTCCTGTGACCTGCCACCAGTACTGCCACAAAAGGATCCAAACATTCCTGACTGCAGAGTCCGCTGTGACCCCAGTGAGACACAGGGCAGCAGCGCTGCCGACAGTTCCCTCCATGCAGTGCCTGAGCTGCCTCCCAGGGCAYGAGCCCCATCTACCAGGACCCCAGCAGGACTGGGAGTGAGCACCATGTCACACTGCCTTTCCAGCTGCTTGCTATGAGCACTGGCCTGCTTTGGCACTGGGGACATCTTTGCTGGGAAAGCGCAGTTGAGATGGAGGACAAGCGAGCATTGCGGCCCCATGGGCTGTCTCCAACACTCGCCATGATTCTCCGATGTACCGGCAATGACAGGGTCCTCTCCCCTGCTGTGAGCTCACAGGCACCCAGGGCCGGGCYGAGCCCTCCTCTGCTTCCCGAGCCAGAAGCCCCACAGCCTTCCCTAACGCACCCAGCACTCGACAACAGCACAGCAAACACCCGCAGTACACGGGGTGGGAAGGGAGCAGGGGATGAGCCACTGGCAACACCACTGAGCCCATGGGCGCTGTGACCCGCTCACAGCAGCACTCGCTGCCTCTCCGACAGCACCCAGAGTGCCTCACAAAAGCCCTTACGGAAATTAAAATCCCGCCATCTCCTGCTGGAGACGCACCCGCTGATCTCTGCAAATTATTAGAGATTCCGTATAGATCCACAGTTACTCGAGTTCAGAGAGATGGGATGGCACAGGACAGGGACCGTTCCTCTCACGGARCCAGCGATCAAGCCCGGCAGCAGAAGCGTGCCAGGGCGCACGGAGCAGGGCTGCGGGAGGATGGCCCTGCGTCCCGTGCACAGGCACTCACGCGTTTTGGAAAACCCTTCACCCACRCAAATATTTCCTCCGACGGGATGTAAAACTCCGCATCGTCCCRGCTCCCGAGTGCCTACCGGCAGGGCTGGGATTCGGGGGGCTGCAGCCGCAGGCTCCGGCGAACGGCAAGGACGGAGCCGCGACCCGCTCGGCACGACAGTAAGAGSAGGTTAAGGAAAATTCCCTGAGTGCGGCCGGGCGACAGCCTCCGCCGCCCGCCCGCCCCGCCGGCTCCATCGACGGACCGAGGAACGCGGAGCCGAGTCCGCACCGAGCGCCGGGAGAGGAGAGGGGACCCAGGCGGGGAGCGGGGCGGCAGGAGCCCGCGGTGTGCGGGGACGGGGCTGTTTCGGGACGGGAGGTGGCCGGCGGTCGGGGACAAGGGGCGCCCGGGGCGGGCGGGGGCCGGTCCCGCAGCCCCCCGCCCTCACCTGTACCACTCCAGCCCGCGGTGGTAGTTCCTGTCGAAGAAGTGGGGCTCGGTGCCCAGAGCGCGCACCTCGGGGTGCACCCGGATGAACTCCAGCACGGCGCGAGTGCCGCCCTTCTTGACGCCCACCACGATGGCCCGCGGCAGGCGCTTGGTGCCCGGGCGGCCCGGTCCCGGGGCGCTGCCGGCCGGCGGGGCTGGGG